GGCACATGCTAAGCACACCTTCTACCATTGAATATTTTTGATTTTAGGTTGGTTGAGTCCGTGGATGTAGAATTGCAGCTATGGAGGCCACCTGTTCTGTCCTACATCTTAAAAGGAAGAGGAAAGAGTCAAAACTCCAGGCTCCGGAGTTTTCCTGTCTAGTTTGGATTTCAGCTGAACATTCTCTTGGTGTCCAGGGGGCAAATCTGTGCTCCCATTTAATGATTGGGAACTTAATAAATCAGGAGAGGGAGGAATTGTCCTTTTCCTGCATAGTTTCTGGTTTGTGACTATGAGTTTTTCCCAGCAAGGTGAGAAGCAGCCTCATGTCTCAGGTGACCTGTCCATCTGGAGCAGAATCCCTGCTGGGCGGGCGGCAGGTTGGAAACCAGGTTCAGACCTGGAGGATGCAGGGGCCTTGACTGAGGCAGACATCCCATCCCTTGGAAGAGGATGAGGAGCAGAGGAGGACAAGAAGATAGTGATTCCAGAGAAACAGCTGCTTAGCCAGTGGCAGGAAAAAGAGACCCAGGGACCCACCTAATGGTGGAACTGAAGCCACCAAGAGACGCTCAAACATGACCTGGATGTTTCAGGCATTGGGAGTGAGGAGGGATGGCGGGGGCATGATCCCTCACGAGAGTAGCCTTTATAGGTGTCACAGTCACAGGTAAACCAGGCAAACAAATCAGGGACACAGTCCAGCACAGGGTACAATACTGAATGTCTTCTGTTGGTTTGGAGAGCTTTTCCCCTGAGTCGGATGAATCTGGTGTATTGCTCAGGAATCAGACATCCACTCAAGGGGAAACTGAAAGGAATTTAAGATAAGACTCTTGAGCAAAGTTGGTGTGGCACTTGGGGATCACATGGAGGGGTGGTGGTCAGAGACATTATCTTCAGGATTGAACAGGCAGGGCAGGGACTCAAAGGAGAGCTTTGACTGTAACAGAGGATTGTCCCACGGGACATGGTCACAGATAGAGGAATGGAGGGCTTCATCTTCATTTACTCCCACCCTTTATTCTCCTGCCATATTTCTTTGCTGCCTAGAGAGACCAATGGGCAGGGAAGCCTGAGAATCTATCTAAAGAATTCTTTCTGCACCTGGCACAGGGGTATGGCCACTCTTGCTGGGAGTAGGTCAGTGTAGGTCAGTGGCTTCTCCCCCAGGCAAGGAGGCTCAGTGCCCAGAGCCCAGGATATTTTCAGGGACCCATAGAAACATTTTCATTTCTTTAAAAATAAGAAGAAAGCATTGAACTTTTAGGTCAAAGAAAATGATTCAATATATAACATTAATAGATCTATTTTTTTCTGGTAGGAGTTGAATTGCAGAAAGTACTTGTTTCATTAATCATTTTAAATATTGAAATGACAACATTTTTCTCATGACATATTTTCCTCATGAGCTTAAGCAAAACGTTACAGGTCTCATTGTCACCACTGCCATACATATAATGTGATGGATGCATAAACTGTGTCAATTTAGCCACATTGATCTATTTTGGACACTGATCAACAGTGCCCATTCTCATCTAGAATGAGCTTTGAAAGAAAATTTTTAGAATTGATGTGAAATTCAGATAAGATCAAACATTGGAAAGTGGCACTCAGTGGCATTTAGTACTTTCTCAATGTTGTGCGGTCATCATCTCCATCTAGCTCCAAAATCATGTGTCAGCAGGCGTGGGTGGTGTGTGCTTGTAATTCCAGCTACTTGGGAAACTGAAGCAGGAGGATTATAAATTCAAGGCCATCCTGGGCAATAGTGAGATCCCATCTCAAAAGCCAACCAATCTCTGGGAACAGTGGTGCATTCCTGTAATCTCAGAGGCTTGGGAGACTGAGGCAGGAGGATTGCAAGTTTAAAGCCAGCCTCAGCAAAGGCAAGGTGCTAAGCAACTCAGTGAGACCCTGTCTCTAAATAAAATGCAAAATAGGGCTAGGGATGTGGCTCAGTGGCCAAGTGCCCTTGAGCTTAATCCCCGGTTCCCTCCGCCTTCCCCAAAAAAACCCCACCCCAAATCCACCAATCAACAAACAGAATAATATACCTAAGTTCCTTGTCTTGCAGTGGGGGCAATGTCCTGATAAATCCCTTGTAAGCTGAACATACTGTAAGTAAAAATTGCATGTTAGAGCTGGGCATGTAAGTCAATGATAGAGCACTTTCCCATCTCATGTGAGGCCCTGGGTTTCATCCCCAGCACTGGGGTGAAAAAAAAAAAGCCTCGAATCTACCACTGAATACCGGAGTTTAGCAACACAGCACACTGTGGAACGTGGGTTGTTTTCTGCTCATGATGTCCAGATTGGCTGGTAGCTGGGGCTTGCTGCTGCCTCCCAGTATCACCCAGCAGTGTCATGGTGCTTATCACTAGCCTGGGAAAAGATCAAAATTCAACACTCAAAGTATGATTTCTACCAAATATGTTTCACTTTGAAACTTCAGAAAGCTGAAACATTGTAAGTCAAGGTTATCTGTATTTTCCTTTACACTAATGCAGTTCCAATTGAACTGCATTAATTTAAATTCAACATTTTTTTTTTTTTTGAGAAAGGGGTCCATGAAGGGAAAATTTCTCAGGTCCATGAAAATAACAATTTCTTAGCTGCTCCATACGTTTGAGGTATTTATTGGGAAATGGATGGGCAGGTTTTATTTTTATATGCATTTTATTTATATTTATGAAAAAAAACATTCCAGGTAGTGTTCTGAAGTTTCTAATTTGGATACTTTTTAAAAGACAATACTTTTAATAAGGATATCTGGATATGGCCAAATGTAAGAAACACTAGTGTCTGAAGTGAGAAGCATCCGAGTTTAGTGCCTGAGACCCTGGAGAGGCTCATGAATATCACACTGGAGACAAGAATTGTCACTGTTGCTCTCCCTGTGGCTTCCCCTTCCCTCTGTTGCTCACCTGAGCATTCACGCAGGCAGCTACATTTATTGGGTGCCCTCTGTTTGCCAGGTAGCTGCAGATTTGTCATCGTGGAAAGATGACTCTAGTTATCTCCAGGTCAGACACCTAACTATATTAACTTTGGGACTGGCCCAAAGATGCTTTGTCCAGGTCTCTGCATGCAATTGGCATTCAGCAAAGGCTTAGAAGTTTGGATCGAGAGGTGGGACAGCCCCCCAATTCCTTCTAATGGTGAAATACGGAGCGGACTGAAGCCATAAATGACGAAAGTGTTAATAATTTTATGGTTTTCTTTCCCGTCTCTTCCCAGCTATGCCCGGGAGTGATTCTGGAGACCTTGACCCTTTGCTGTCAGGACATGACTTTTGAAATCCAGGCAATGTCCCAGGTGTCCTAGCAAGGGCACAGCCCAACAGATGGACACATCTTTCCCTTGCCTTGTGAGCTTCCTCCAGTGCCCACCATCCTCCCATCCTTCCCCTTCCACCACTCCTGCCTTCAGACCTGGGCTCCTCTGTACCCGCAGGTAGACCATGAGCAGCCACGGCAACAGCCTGTTCCTGCGGGAAAGCGGCCAGCGCCTTGGCGGGGTGGGCTGGCTGCAGGGGCTGCAGGACAGCATGCAGCAGAGAGCACTGCGCACGCGCCTGCGCCTGCAGACCATGACTCGAGAGCACGTGCTGCGCTTCCTGCGCCGGAATGCCTTCATCCTGCTCACGGTCAGCGCCGTGGTCATAGGTGAGCCCGGCTTCCGGGAGGGCGGGGACTTCCGGGAAACGTCCTGCTTGCATGTGTCTTTGCTCCAGCCGGCCACTCTCACCTGCACACTCGTCCCACCTGCCACTGTTCCAACCCTCTATGGGTGCACACATTGTCACATGTGTCACATATGTACATGTGCACTGTACACAGTTTACACGTGCACAAACATGAACATATTTTATGGGCGCTCAGAATTTACAGGTGCAAATTCCTGTGCACACTTACACAAATATACAGTTGTCTTGTGGTACCAGAAGCAGAGCCAGAGGATATGGAGGGCTGAATGTATTAGAACTTATAAGCACATCCATTCCCACATGGGCATTCTACAGACTTAAGTGTTTAAACATATGTACACCCCCCGTGTTTGAAAATAGTAACATATGCACAAGTCTCGTGTATGGATACATCCAAGAAAATGCAGATGCAAATTCACGTGTATGGGATTACATTCACAGGCAGATGTATAAGCTCACAAATGAGCGTGCACGCACATGTGCATCCAGGTGTGTGCTTGAATGGGTGCAGACGTCTGTACACATATCAATGTGTAACAAATCTTACATTTCTGCAATGTACACCTGTGCCAATGTGCACACAAGTGCATGTACTTGTAGAATGTTTTTCTCTTTCTCTCACTGATCCCCCTACCACAAGTCTTCTTGGAATGGGTGGGTCCTGTCTGGGCTGAGTGACCCACACTCCACTCCATGAACCCCTCTTTTTGGCTCTAGGGGTCAGCCTAGCCTTTGCTTTGCGCCCGTACCAGCTCACCTACCGTCAGATCAAGTACTTCTCTTTCCCTGGTGAGCTTCTCATGAGAATGCTGCAGATGCTGGTGCTGCCCCTCATTGTCTCCAGCCTGGTCACAGGTGAGAGTACCCAGTCCCTTGTTGACCTTCGAGACCCCCTCAGAACCCAGACTTGAACCTAGAGCCAAGACAGTTCCCATCTTGAGAGCTTGGGATCACCTTTCCAACTCAGCTACTCAAACATGGAGCCTGCACGTGGCCCACGGTCCTGGCCAAAACCCAGATCCTTGTCTAGAACCCAGGGTGAGGTTCCTGCTCCTATATACCCACAGCACTTATCCCAGGAGTTTTCCTGTATGTCTCCTTGGAGGTAAAATGCCAGCCTTCAGGGCTCAAGTTATCCAGAGGGGAAGGAAAGGTGGTGGAGGGAGGGATGGGCAGCTAAGGAAGGTAGCTGGGCTATAGGGTGCATGGGCAGGAGGTGGATGTGAATAGGGTATACAAGGTTAGTGAGGTGGAGGTGCCAGGATGGGGGGTAGGGAGGGAGTGGGATGGGAGCACCAACAGTATCTACTCAGCATACAGTGAGGTGGGTGGAGAGCTGTGATTTGGGGTGGACTGTGGGATAAGGAGTGGGATGAAGATGAGGTTATGGTACAAATAGGAGTCAGTAGAGTTGGGGTTGAAAAGATTGGCTTGAGTTAGAGGGAAGGTAGTGTGGATGGTGTTGTGTTTGGGGTAAAGAACAGGATGGGATGTGAAGGCGTTTTTGGAAAATAGAATGGGAATGGGATGGTGGTGTGGATGAATTGATTGTGGGGGACCCTGGGTGAGGTGTAGGGGGACAGGATGTTTGGGGCAGTGGTTGCTGAGTTGGTGGTTTGGGAGGTGGAACAGATGGATGGGGAGTAGGTGATGGGGTATGAATGAGGATACGGGGGCTGCACTGTCTGTCCTCAGGTATGGCTTCCTTGGACAACAAGGCAACAGGGCGGATGGGCATGAGGGCAGCTGTGTACTACATGGTGACCACGGTCATTGCGGTCTTCATTGGCATCCTCATGGTCACCATCATCCATCCTGGGAAGGGCTCTAAGGAAGGGCTGCATCGCGAGGGCCGCATTGAGACCATCCCCACAGCTGACGCCTTCATGGACCTGGTCAGGTGATGTTCTAATTTTGATGGGATTTCCGGATGAACATGGAGCAAGGCAGGCAAACCCAACCTGGAAATGGTGACACCCCTTGGTTCCTATGTTTTGGTACCTATTTGTTGCTCTTTGCCCTTGCACATATCCTCCAAGAGAACTAGGATATGATCTTTGTACCCTTAGGCTGGGGGAGGCTATAGCTGCAGTATCTTGGAGCCCAAGCTCCATTTGAGGGTGAATGATCCTTTTATGCAGCAAGATTTTGTAGCCAGAAAATCAAGGTTGGCAGTATTTCTGCCCTAGTCACCAGCGAGGGCATTGCATGGACTTGGATGATTTTTAGGAATTGTCTCTGGTGTTTTGGGGTCTCATTGGATTGAAGTCTTGAGATGATATAGGGGTCAGATAGACCTGGATCTGAGGTTTGTCTTAGTCTATTTTCTGTTACTACAACCGGATACCCGAGACTGGATGAGTTGTAAGGAGCAAAGTTTTATTTAGCTAGGAAGTCAAACAACATGGTGTTGGTATCTGGTGAGGGCCTTCTTGCTGCATTACAACATGGCAGAGGGCATCCTTGGTGAGACAGAGCAAGTGTGCTAGAGAGAGCCTGTTTTTATAACAAAGCCACTCCTCATTAATCCCTAAAGCCCTTGATCCATGAATGGATTAACTCATCTACGAGAGCCAAGCCAGCATGACCTAATCTTCTCTTTGAGGCCCCACCTCCCAATACTCTGCAATCAATTTTCACCATGAGTTTTGAAGGGAACAAACCCTAGGCAAACCACAGCTGGGCCCGTCTGCACCTTTTAGCTTCTGTGGGGCTTAGGGCAACTACATAAGGCCCTCCAGTAAAGAGCTGTTAAATCAGATGGTGTAGGTCAGGTACCTCACTCAGCATTTGGCCTAGACTGAGCTTTCCTATGTTGGTTGACATTATTATTATTGTTGTTATTATTACAAGTATCAGGCTCTCTTCCAAGGTCTAACCACTTTTCCTTCCTTTGATGTTTTTCTGCAGAAATATGTTTCCACCCAACCTTGTGGAGGCCTGCTTCAAACAGGTCAGTGGGAAGCACCCAGTTGGATCAAGGTGGCTGGGAGGGCCATGGTGGGGCCTGCTGCTGGGTGGGTGACCCAAGCCTAAGGGGTGGGAAAAAGCAGCTGAGAGAGGGACGGGCAGGAGGGGCCTATGGAGGAATCCACGAGAATGGATCGAGTTCCCTCAGGTGTGGTGATCAGGACAAGAGGACCTAGGCCAGGGCAGCCTGGGCTGGGGTAGAGATTGCAGGACTTCTGACCACACATAATAAAGAGAGAGGCCTTAAAGTCTGGCTGAGCACAGCCCAGGGAGCTAATGAAAATGCGGAATCTACACTTGTTCTTTCATGCTTGGTTATTCACACCCTCATTTGTCGATTCATTCACTCATTTTTAAACACTTTTTTAATTTTAAAAAATTTGTTTTTTGATTAGCAAAAATTATATAGTTGTCCTTTGATATCAGGAGGGAGTTGGTTCCCTGCAGATTATAAAATCTGGGAATGCTCGAGTCTCGTATATAAAATGGCAGAGTGTTTGCATAGAAACTATCCTCCCACAGACTTTAAATCGACTCTAGATCACATGTAATACCTAAAGCAATGCAAACACAATGAGAATAGTTGTTGGACTGCATTGTTTAGGGAATAGTGACAAGAAAAAGTCTGTACATGTTAAGTTCACAGCCAATTTCCCTCCTCCAAATATTTTTGATCCATGGTTAATTGAACCCATGAAAGGGAGTCCACAGATGTGGAGGGCCAACTGTCTATTTATGGGGCATAAATATGTATACATTGTGAACTAATTAACATATACATTACCTCACATGCTCATTTTTGTGTTGAGAACACTTAACGTCTACTCTCAAGTGATTTTCACAGTACAGTGTTATTAACTAGCGCCACCCTGTTGTACAATGAATTTCTTGAACTTCTTCCTACCTGAGATTTTGTGCCCTTTGATCAGCATCTCCCTAACTTTTCCCCACCAACCAACCTAGACTTGGGTGACCATTCTGTTATTTCAATGATACTACCTTTTGTGGATTTCACATATATCTGAGATCATATAGTGTTTGTCTTTCTATGTCTGGCTTATTTCACTAAGCGCAGTGTCTTCAATTGTCATCCAAGTTGTTGCAAATTTCAAGGTTTTCTTCCTATTTTTGAAGGCACAATAGTATTCTATCATGAATCTATTCTACATTTTCTTTATCCATTTGTCCATTGGTAGAGACAGGTTGATGGCATAGCTTGGCTATTGTGAATAGTGCTGCAGGGAGTGTGGGAAAGCAGGAACAGGTTGTGTATCCCTTATTTGAAGTGCGTGGGATCAGAAGTGTTTTGGATTTTTGACTTTATCAGATTTTGGAATATTTGCATATACATAATGTGCTATCTTGGCGATAGGACCCAAATAGAAGCATGAAATTCATTTATGTTTCACGCATACCTCCTATGTAGTCTGAAGGTGATGTGTATGCAAAACTTTCAATGCATCTATGTTTTGATGGTGACTTGTCACATGAAGTCAGGCATGTGGAATTTTCCACATGCATCATGTCAGTGCTTAAAATGTTTCAGATTTTGGAACTTTTTGGATTTTGGATTTTCGGACTAGGGATGCTCCATCTGCATCTCCTCATGATTCTTATTTGCTGGATCATATGGTGTCCTATTTTTAATTTTTTGGGGACCCTCTGTTCCGTTTTCTGTCTCGGCTGTAGTAATTAATTCACTCCTCCTTCTATGCCTTGGCCAAGTTCTCATCAGCAATAAGACTTTCTGGGGTGGGGAACCAGGAATTGGTGTTTTTAGAACTTTCTCCAGGTGACTCTGCTACTGAGTCTGGGCCCCATCTCTCTGCATTTCAGTTCAAGACACAGTACAGCACGAGGGTGGTGACCAGGACCGTGGTGCGGACAGAGAATGGGTCTGAGCTGGGTGCCTCCCTGCCGCCTCCGTCCTCAATGGAAAACGAAACCAGCATCCTGGAAAATGTCACTCGGGCCTTGGGCACCCTGCAGGAGGTGCTCAGCTTTGAGGAGACCGTGCCTGTGCCGGGGTCAGCCAACGGTATCAATGCCTTGGGCCTCGTGGTCTTCTCTGTGGCCTTTGGGCTGGTCATTGGTGGCATGAAACACAAGGGCCGGGTCCTGAGGGACTTCTTTGACAGCCTCAATGAGGCTATTATGAGGCTGGTGGGCATCATCATCTGGTGAGTGCTGGGCTGTGCCCCGGGGCGGTGGTGTTGGTACACGGGAAGGGCGGAGCCAGGGCTGGGACCAGTCAGGCTGTGTGGAAGTTGAAGTGATTGGGGACATTTGACCAAAGTCGCTCATCTACTCTATGTATTGGTTAATTCACTCGCAAACTCACTAACTCATCATGTATTTCTGCACTGAGTTATTCACTTGTTGACGATCTTCTTTGTGCATTCACTCATTCTTCTGTGTGTTGACCAATCATTCAATCATTGAAACCCATTCATCTATATTCATTCTTCCACGCACACCAAACGTACTGTGGATTTTATTCCTGTATTAGTCTGTTTTTCATTACTATAACTAAATACCTGAAGTTGGGTAACTTCATAAAAAAGAGGTTTATTTAGCATATAGTTCTGGTGGTTCAAGGACGTGGTGCCTGCATTAGTTTGACTGTTTAGGATCTCCCAGTAGATGGCACACCCAAGAGCCAAAGATTATATCACAAGACAGGAAGCCAGAGAGGGATTGAGAGGTTAGGCTGGTTCTTACAACAACTCTCACTAGAAATAACTCAAGATCCCGTGAGCACTGCCTTGATCCATCTAAGTGCAATGCCCCCATTAACCTAAGGACCTCCCACTAGGCCCCACCTCCTAAAGGTCCCACTATCCTTAACATTGCCACTCGGGGGACCAGACTCCCAGTACATGAGCTCTTGGGGAGTGTAAATCATATCTAAGCATCATCCCAAATAATTTGAAAGTTTTATAGGAGACTTTAGCCACTTTGACAGCTAGGAAAATTTTCTAATGGGAATGGAAGGGAAAGCCTATCAAGGATAAGCAGAGAATTAACGGGGAGTGTTGGAGGCCCAACAGAACTGGGAACCATGAATTTACAGTGGTGTCATTGGCCTGGTTTGGCAAAGTGTGCAGGAGTGCCAGGTGACTGAGTATCAGAGGTAAGAAGTCATGAACAATTGATCCAGGATTGAGGCGTTTTGCAGGGGGTGAAGCAGAAGGATGGAGGCCACGGAGAAGCGTAAGACAGGTCTCGGGGTTTGACTTGGAGGGGATTCTGCAACCATGTACCAGAGCTCACTCCAGCCAGCTTAGGAAACACAGATAGGGCTGGAGAAGTCCCCTGCATCCTCCTTTTTGACCCAAGCTATTGCGCTGACTTTCCAAGTGGTTCCCACCTCCTCGGTTACGTTCACCGTGAGAGTGATCAAGAAGGACTTCCATTCCTGAAGACCGAGGAGTTAGCAGTGGCAGCCTGGGGATAGGTGAATGACGGACCACAGGCAGAAGCTCACAGGATTGAGTGACGGGCTGGTTTGTGTGCGCTGTGGTCTCCATGTGTCCCCCAAAAGTCCATGTGTTGGAAACTTAATCCTCAAACACAAATGTTGATGGTATTCAGAGGAAGAGCCTTTGGGAGGTAATTAGGGTTAAATGAAGTCATAAGAGTGGGGTTTTGTGATGGGGCTAGGGGCTTTATAAGAAGAGGAGTGGAGACCTGAGCTGACGGGCTCCGGGCTCGTGTCACGTGATGCCCTCTGCCATGTGTTGCAAGAAGGCCCCCCAGAGGCTGGAACCTTGGTATTGGATTCCCAGCCTCCCAAATGTGAGAAATTAATTTTCTGTACAAATTCCCCAGCCTCAGCGCAGTATTTTGTTACAGCAGCAGCAATGGACTAAGGCCGTGGGAAAGGCAGTTGGGCCCCGATGATCCTGCTTCCTTCGCTTCCTCTTTTCCTTCTCCCTCAGGGACTTTGCCCTGGCTGCAGAGCTTCCCTCCACATGCCCACGGTTCCTTCTCACCATCCAGGGCTCCACTTTAGTCACTTCTCCTGAGAAGTCCTGCTTGACCACCCACTTGTCACAACCTGGCGTTTGTAATTGCAGTGGTCCCCTCTGATCCACTGTTTCACTTTCTGTGATTTCAGTTACCCACGGTAAACCAGGGTCCAACAATATCAAGTGGAAAATTCCAGAAATAAGCAGTTCATGAGTTTTAAATAACCGTCATTACAGCAAGTTGCTGTATCATGACTCATTGTATCATTGGCTATTGTGCCTAATCTCTCCCTGGGCCTAATTTAATTTTAAATTAATTTTTAAAGTTTAACTTACTAAACTTTATCATTGGTATGTATTTATTGGGGAAAAAACATGGAATATATATAGGCTCCAGTACTGAACATGTCCCCCAAGGATTTCACATTTCTATGTGTACCTCCTGTTTTCCCCATTAGAATGTGTCTTAGTGCATTTGGACTATAGCAAAACTACCACAGACTGGGTGACTTACACAGAGAACATTCGGTTCTCACAGTCCTAGAGGGTGGGAAGTTCCATCCAGATCCTGGCACCCACAGATTCAGTGTCTGGGGAGGGCTGTTCTGGTTCAGGGATGGTGTCTTCTCCCCGAGTCTTCCCATGGTGGAAAGAGCAAAGCACCTCTCTTTTATATAAACGCTCATCCATTCATTGAGCCCTGCCCTCATGACTTCTTAAAGTCCCTGCATCCTAATGCCACACCTTAGGGATTCGGATCTCAACATGCATTTTTTTGGGGGGTGGGGTGGGGAATAGGGCACCACCAGTCGCTGGCCGAGAGTAAGTGCCGTGAGGACAGGGAGCATGGCCCTGGAAAACAGTGCTCATTAGGTAGTTGCTGAATGAGTGGAGAATACACAGGTGCTTTTGAGGTGGGAGAAGCAGTGACAGGGCCCAGGCTGGGGAGGCAGGAGACCACGCACTGATGGGAGAGGGGTAAGGAGTACAAATACGGAACCCCGGCAGCAGACAGCGGATGTTTAGAAGGTCAGACTCGGAAGTGTCCCTGCATTCCTTAGGAAGGGGCCTGGAGTTGGGTGGGGAGGCCTGGAGTGGGGAGGGGGATGAAGCCCTCATAAGGCAGCTGGCATGCCCTGGCCCCATGGGAACTCTGGTGTGGGGTGAGTGTGAGTGAGTGGCAGGAGGAGGTAGGGTGTGTTGTGGGCTGGAGGGGAGGTGGGGAGGGATCCCTGACAGGTGTGTGGCTTGCCCAGGTATGCACCTGTGGGCATCCTGTTCCTGATTGCTGGGAAGATTCTGGAGATGGAAGACATGGCCGTCCTTGGGGGTCAGCTGGGCATGTACACACTGACTGTCATCGTGGGCCTGTTCCTCCACGCTGGCGTTGTCCTGCCCCTCATCTACTTCCTCATCACCCATCGGAACCCCTTCCCCTTTATTGGGGGGGTGCTGCAGGCCCTCATCACTGCCATGGGCACCTCTTCCAGGTATGGCCGTGCTCCCCACTCTCCTCCTCCTGTCTTCCATGGGCTCTCCAGGGTCCCACTCTCCCCCTACCATTAACGTCTTCTGGTGGCACAGTCATGTCACAGGCTCTTGGAGACCCAGGTGGCCATTACTTATTTCATATGGAGGAGAACCTGTTTTATATGGAGGGGCCAATTCTGAGTTTACAGATGAAGGTTCCAGAATGCCCTGGGAGCTCAGTCATTTACTAGCCCAAAGAGTCTCATCTTCCCTTGAGATAGTGTCTGGAAGCTCTCTTACTTCCTTGTGCACTTTTTGGTGCTTTTAGGAGGCTCTTTATTAGCCCCCTCATTAATCCCCATCACTAAAATTCAAAACAATTTGAGAAGATATGCAAGAGCCAAATAGATGGGAAAAAATGTCATTTTTATTGCTCATAATGCTCATTGAAGAACGTGCCTCTTTGATTCTAAATGAGATTGGTGCCCCTATACCCCCTGGTCACCATAGAGCTGGGTGCCCAAGCATGCTCCATGAGTCCTGGTATTTCATGGCATGACATAAAGCTGACCAGACAGAGCACACATCCTGTGGCAAGCTGACCCCCAAAGAGATGCCCACTCCTTCCGCCAAACTCACCCATTAATGGAGTCACTCTGGCTCTTCTGGGTATTGGTGGAGGGTTAGTGTAGTTGGGGTTTATCCCTGGGCACCATGAGGCAGAGGGAAATTGGGGTCTTTTGTGATATCCTTGTCGTAGCCCCCAGGTGTGGGAGGTCAGGAATCTGAGACTGGACTGTTGGTTTTTATGCCATTGGCTTTAAGTGAGTCAAGAGGCCTCAACCCTGGGTTGTCCGCAAGGTTGAGTTCTCCCTTCATGAGGAGGAGCGCCCCTCTCCATCTGGATCCTTGTGCCCATGCCCTCCTCCTCTTGCTTGTGTTCTTACCTGGCCCCTCTGTGTTCCTGAGGGGAGTCCTCCTTGGGTTCAGTGCTCCAGTCCACTCTCCCCTGCCACTCCCTGTGTCTTTCTCCCCCAGCTCTGCAACCCTGCCCATCACCTTCCGCTGCCTGGAGGAGGGCCTGGGTATAGACCGCCGCATCACCCGATTTGTGCTGCCGGTGGGGGCCACCGTCAACATGGATGGCACTGCCCTCTATGAGGCCTTGGCTGCCATTTTTATTGCTCAAGTCAACAACTATGAGCTCAACCTGGGCCAGATCACCACAATCAGGTGAGGTGCCTCAGTTGGGACCTGGGAGGTCATCAGTGTGACGGTGGGAGGAGGGACCCAGAACTGGCCGTCAGGGGAGGCATTGCAAAGGGGAAATGGGGTGAGCCCGATGCTGGATGAGGTTACAGGTGAGACTTTGCCACCTGAGGCTGTCAACAGCCGACAAGAGGGTGCTGGACATTTCTCCCCTCGCATGCTGTTGAGAGACATCCCTTTTCCCAGAATTTTCCAAAGTGTGGCTGGAATATCCTAATAGCCCAACGTTCGTGTTATAATTATAGATTCCTTGGTTCCATCACTTGTAGGGAAAACCCACAGATGTAGGCAAGCATGCCACAAAGATAGTTTCAAATTTAGAAATCCTCTTGATCAAGGTCCCAAATAGCAGAAATGAGCACTTCTCATGAGAAATGTCTTAGTGAAGTTATCAGAAAAGGTGAGGATGGGAGACTTTTAGAGGGTGTTCTTCGGTGGATCTGGGGACTTGGCATCACTTCCAGCTTCTTCCTAGGGAAAGACCTTGGTGACGATGGCTGGCATGAGACCTACTAGGTAATGCTTCATACATTAGCAGCAGGCAGAGATCGACTGCTTGGAGATTCCTAGATTGGATCCACTCTAAACTCAACACAAAGGCTTTTGAGGTGGTCCTGATAGAATCAGCTCAACCTATCCAGAGGGGGCTGCCTGCCTCCCAAGGGCTCCCACAGGTCACTGTTTATTCCAGGGCCAGGGGTGGCAAGGGAAGGGCTCCCTCACTTACCGTTCTGTCCTCTTTGAGACCCATTCATAAGGCTCTGCTCCTTCCCCACCAAAGGATATCAAATCCAAACAGGATAAACTCAGGAGAAATTATGTGGCTTTTTAGAAAATAGAATTTTACTCCTTTTTAAAAAAATATTTTATCTATGTGGTTCTGGTGCTGGGGTTTGAACCCAGGGCCTTCACATGGAATTTTACTTCGTGGATATATTTTTGATAGAAGTAACTGACACCTTGAAGCACATATCATGTCCTAGCACTGTGCTCCTCTGCTGCTCACAGTAAGAAGGTCGGCACATGTCCTGCACTCTACAGAAGAGGAGAGGGAGACTCTGGGTTCAGGTCCAGTGTTGGACAGCTTATGAGTCTGATGCCACCCTGATGCCGCAGTCCATGCTCTGTCACCAGTCCCAGCATTTGCTCAACCATGGATCACATTGGTTCTGACAGAGCCATCCTCTGGGCTAAGCATCTCCTGCAACTCCATGTTGACAATTTAATTTCTTCCACACTTTTTTTTATTGGTGAATTATAGCTGTACATATTGATGGAATTTGTTCTTACGTATTCATACATGCACACAATGTAACAATATAATTTGACCAATATCACTGTCCAGCATGTATCCCCTTTGCTGATGTTGAAAATTTTAGAATCTGCTAAGAGGTTTCAGAGGCCACCAGGCAGAGGGTGGTGCCCACAGGGTACTAGTACCCTGGTAGCTCATGGGCTTTTAAAATCCTTTTAGGCAGTGTTGGGCAATCAGAGTTGATACAGGATTTAAGATCTAGCCCATTCCTAGATCTGCTTTCTTTTGTTTATTTTTAAAAACCAATAAGTTTGAGTAAGAATTTAGGCTCTAGCACTGGACATCTCTAGACTCAGGATGGTCCAGAATGTTCCCACCTCTAAAGTGGTGAGCTATATTTAACTACTTTTCTTTTTCTTTTTGGTAGTGGGGATGGAACTCAGAGGCATTTTAACAATCACTCACATCTCCAGTCCTTTTTATTTTTTATTTTGAGAAGGGTCTCACTGAGTTGCTTAGGGCCTCGCTAAGTTGCTGAGGCTGGCCTTGAACCTGCCATCCTCCTGCCTCAGCCTCCTAGGTCGCTGGGATTATAGATGTGCGCCACCTCACCCAGCATACTACTTTTCTTTTAAAAACTTCTGTCCTTCCTCCCCCCCTTGGCATTATTGAAGTATAACTGACAAATAAAACTCCTACATATTTTAGGTGCACAATATGATTTGATATGTGCATACACATTGTAAAATGATGATCTCCATCAGGCCAATGAACATCCATTGCTTCACATGGTCACCCCCAGCTTCTTCCAGTTCTTTGGGTAGAGAAAGCACTAACAGCCACTCTTTTTGCAAACTTCAAGGATACAGTAGCATATCAGTAATTATCGTCACCATGCATCAGATCCCAGAACTTAGTTCATCTTATAACTGAAACTCTGACCAACCTCTCTGTGTTTTTATCCCAACCTCCTTACCCTGGGGAGTCACCGTTCTACTCTCTGCTTCCGTGATTTCTGACTTTCTTTAGAGTCCATGCATGAGGGAGATCATGCAGGAACAGGATTTTCCTTTCTGCACTGGCTGAAGAGTTTTTAAGATGCCTCGGGAAACTGACCCCTCCCCTTCTCTCTCTCTCTTTCTCTCTCTCTCTCTCTCTCTCTCCACCCTCTCTTCCTTCCTCCTGGTTTCCTGTATTCTCTCTCCACTTGCAGCATCACGGCCACAGCGGCCAGCGTTGGGGCTGCTGGCATCCCCCAGGCCGGCCTGGTCACCATGGTCATTGTGCTCACATCTGTTGGGCTGCCCACGGAAGACATCACCCTGATCATAGCTGTGGACTGGTTCCTGTGAGTGCTTTTGGGTCGGACCCTGATGCCAGCTCTCCCCGCCCCACTGTTTTGTGATCCAGCAGGAAAAGGGGTCCTTGGAGAGTCCTCGGCCTGTGGACCCCAAAGCCCATAGGGTTAATAGTGGGAAACAGCAGGGAGGAGACGAACCCTGAGGGTTTTACCATCAACCAGAACAGCTCCTTTTTGACCTGTTTCATGTATAAACCATAAGAAGGTGCTCCATGGCATGGTCTGGCTTTGTATCATTCAAAAAATAGGTGTTATTTTGTTTTCTCTGGTAAAAATTTTTAATTTCAAAACCAAAAGAATTTTGTAAGTGAGAAGAAAACATAGGTTACCTGCAACACTAAATAGGAAGGAATTTTGATTGATGAATTTCACCTTTCAGTGATGGATAAAATGATTTTGAGGGCTAAATCTTGGTGGGTTTGTGAGTTAAAATGATGTACCTAGTAAAATGCCACTTTTATGTGAAGACAACAGGAAAGCATTTTTAGGTAGATAAGGACGGTTCTGTCCTCCCTCCCAGCTGTCCTTCCTTCCTTCCTTCCTTCCTTCCTTCCTTCCTTCCTTCCTTCCTTCCTTCCTTCCTTCCTTCCTTTTATCCACCCATCCATAAAAACATAATCTGGAGTTTCACCCCAGTGGGAGCTGTGGGTGCAGAAGTCTGTAGCCTGCCCTGGTCAGGGCCTCTGTTGGCCCATCCTGGCTGACTCACTCATGGTGGTTCCTCTCCTGATTCCATATGCATTTCAGCTTATGGCCCCTAATTGTCTGTATCAACATTTACATCTTAAAAAAGTATCACATTGCTAAGAACAAATCAGAGTGTCTCAGAGCTGGCCCAGCCTCTGTTTGTTAGGAGAGGAAACTGAGGACAGAGACGGGGAGGCCCCCCTTGAGGTCAGGCGGTCAGAGACTGGACTGGAATGTGAATCCAGGGAGCCTCCCCCTGTGCAGCCTTTCTTCTGTGGAGCTTTTTAAGTCCCCACGAATGGCAGCTTCTCTCTCTTCTCTACCAGGGACCGGCTTCGCACCATGACCAATGTGCTGGGGGACTCCATTGGAGCGGCCGTCATTGAGCACTTGTCCCAGAGGGAGCTGGAGTTGCAGGAGGCTGAGCTCACCCTCCCTAGCCTGGGGAAGCCCTACAAGTCACTCATGACACAAGAAAAGGGGGTGTCCAGGGGCCGGGGAGGCAACGAGAGTGCCATGTGAGGGGCCTTCAGCTCTTCTCCAAGGCAGGAAGGAAGGGGACTGGGGAGGGGACCCTGAGGACAGTCTGCTGCTCAGCCGACCCTGGGCTGCACACACGAGTTCTGCTCGGCTTCTTTGTGAGAGGGACTAAGATAAAGGAGCAGGAATGAAAGCTGTTCAGGGTCTGTGTTTGTCTCAGAGCACAGGCTGAGAACTCGAGAGAGGGAGTGAGCCAGGAAGGGGAGGAAAATTTTCTCCTGGGTTTTCGGGGGAGAGGAGGCTTCAGGTTCAACAAGAAGAAAGGTCACCTGGTGTTCTTTCTTGTCTCCAGGACTGGTGGAGCTGAAGAGGGTAAAGAAAAACTGTACTGTTTCTCATAATAAAAAAAATATTCGTGGCCTTTGTGTTGGAATTCCAAAGTCCACCTTCAGATTTCAGTGATTCACCAGAAAAACCCCGAGCTTGGAAGAGCCATCTACTCATGGTCATGGTTTATCACAGTGAAAGTAAGAGATGAAACTCAGCAAAGGCAAGGAGTGGTTGGGAAAGGGCCCGTAGACCACACGTGAGTTCCTAGCTCCTTCCTGCAGTTGCGTGTGCCACGTCCTTCTCCCAGAAAGGACGTGTCACAGCATGCATGGTGCACTGTCAACCAGGGACGCTCACCTGAATCCTGGTGGGCAGAGTGGTATTAAGGCATGGTCACATAGGTGTGATTCTATTGATTCTTCAGTGTCTCTCAGAGGTCAGTCTGATACAGCATGGTCTAGGGCTCCAGGTGAGTAAAAATGGGCATTTGCCACAGATCACATTGTTAGCATAGACTCCCTGGGATGGCCCAGGGCTCTGGTTTACAGACACACTTATCAGGAAGGTTCCAAAGATCAGAGGCCATCTTCCAGGAGGCAGTCAAAATCCAGTCCTTTCTTTGGGATCAGTGGGCTTGGGGAACCCCAACTTCTCAAAGTTAACCATTTATTGCACAAACTCCAAGGCTGTAGATGGGGAAAGCAACTTCCTGTGGGGAGGGTAGGTGGGTATAGTAGCCCCAGCTTTTGACTCCTGAGATTGAGTGACATTGTATCCCCATGCCTGGCCTCAAGAGTATCTTTTCTATACAGGGGTGGACACAGTGTTATTTTCCTGTGACCTAAGGGACCAGGCGGGCCGTTAATTCATGGGGAAAACATGAGTAACATGACTCCAGTGAAACTCCATGGGCCCTTTGTCCAAGACCATACACTTATTTCTAAGTTAAATTAGTTCCACTTGGGCACCTCCCCCAAGACAGAAGGAAGATCCAAGTGCAGGTCCACTCTTTAGAATCCTAAAACAGCCCTGGAGCAGAACAATTCAGAAAAGGTGGGGAAGGCTCCAGAGCTTCTGTAATCATGGTCACTGCAGATGTGGGACGTTCATGGTCAGAGTTTGGAAATGGTCTATGCAAAAGCATTTGCCATAGGTCACATTGTGAGCATAGTCTCTGCTTCTAAACCCTCCTACGACACATATGACCCCAGGGGCCCTGCCAGGGACTCCCAATCTCCAACCAGAATCTCAGAACCACGTTATCCTACCCCACAAGGATCTGCAGCCCCAGAAGGGTCTTTGTGGGAAGGAGTCATGAAAACTCAAGGGATCCATGTCATGGAGGAGGAAAGGATCCGTGTTCTTCCACGTGAGGACCTTCCTCCAGCCCTGTTTTCTTTATTAAGTCCGTGTCAGCCATCTTCCCCTAACCATGACTCATACCCAAGACCATAACTTTATAAAGAGAAAAGGTTCGCTTCAGCTCACAGTTTGGGAAGCTACGGTCCAGATTTTGGGTCTCATGGCAGGGGCACCTGGGAGAGAAAGCTGCTCACCTCATGGCCAGGAAGCAAAAAAGAGGAGAAGGAGGTCCAGCAAGCTCTTGAGAGCATGCCCCCACTGATCTCTTGCAAGGCCTCAACTCTCCAATTTCCCCCCAAGGACACCAAGCTTGGGACAGAGCCTTTAGCACATGGTCCTTCTTGGGCCATGCAATCTGGTTTTCAAAAATAAATGCATCAGTGGTTGTAGCTCCGTGGTGGAGTGTTTGCCCCCCACGTGTCGGGCACTGGGTTCAATCCTCAGCACCACATAGAAGCAACTAAATTAATTAAAGGCATTGTGTCCATCTTCAACTAAAAAAAACAATTAAAAAAATAAATGGATCATTTGGGGGAGATGGTGGATTGGATTAGATTTTCTTTCTATCTTTTCAGTTGCCCTGAGATGGACAGAACAAGACAAATCTGCCCCTGAGCACAGAGGGAATCTGTAAGGTTCAGGATTTGCTTTCTGGGTTCATGACGAGAAGGGGAGATGGACATACAGTGGGGGAGGTCAGGATCTAGCTGGAAGCCACAAGCAAAAGGTGGACACTCACAAGCCCGGAACAGAGCTTGTGTCCACTCTGCTCCTCTGCCCATGATGATGGGCATATCCTGCAGAACCCAGAGCCATTTTTCATGGTGGTAAACACATACCCCCTGGCCCAGGAGGTAGCAGCTGAAGGAAACAGAGAGAAATGGCAAGCCTGGTGCCACTTCACACCACTGAGCTGATGAGCCACCACACAGCAGCTGCTGTTCCTTTAACCCTGTAAATGATCCGAGAATCTTCTCTGAGGCCTGTATCAGTTTCCTCCGGCTGCTGTAACAAACACACAATCTGTCTGGCCTACAACAACAGACACTTGTTTTCTAAAGTAATACTTTTGGAGGCCAGAATGAAGTTCAAAATTACAGTATTGATCGTGCTCTTTCCACAGCCTCCAGGGGAAGATCCTTCCTGACTCCCTCTAGCTGTGGGTGCCTCCAGTCGTCCTTTGCTTTGTGGCCACATCACTTTAACCTCTGCTTCTATCTCTACACAACCTTCTTTTTTTTTTTTAATTCGTCCTTTTCTTTTGCATTTTATAAGGATGCTAATTGCAGAACTTAGGGCCCCTCCAGGTAATTCATAGTGATCTCACATCAAAATTATTTTTTTAAATGAAATCTTCTAGAACCCCCTTTCCAAATGATGCCACATTCACAGGGCCCAGGGGGACATATCTTTGGTAGGGCTACCAATAAACCCACTAACTGGCCCAAAAAATGTTATCTCAGCCTAGAAAAGAGCAGGGAGACAGAGAATGGAAGACAGTCATAAAGGTAAATTTATTTTATTTATCCAGTGGCCAGTATGGACACTGGGGCTCCCACTGGGGATCCCTGGAGCCAATGCAATGCATCCTTCAGAGTTATCTTACTCATTGAGCAAGGAAGTTATATACCAACTCCTGTCAGTCCTTGGTTAAGGAGTGACTTATGGGGCATTGATTGTCTGTGTCCATGGGCAGAGTAGATGCCAGTCAACAGAGGAATCTCTCAGACAAAGAGATGCATATATGTCAATTTGAACCAGGAAAGTATGTGCTAAGATGATAAGGCCTGCTCTTGGAAGGAGTTCATGCCGGTTCGGTTCTCGTGTGACCTTGGTGGCTATAAAAGAGCACAACTGGCCCCTCCGCGCTCTGGCTTCCTGTCTCACCATGTGACCTTTCCTTCATGTGAGGGCTACTGGCATTCCACACCCACCCGTCTGATAACACAGAGGTACCCTTACCAGAGCCAGAGTCATTCTACTGGGACTTTCAGTCTGCAAACATGTGAAATAATTAACTTCGTTTCTTTCTAAAGTACCTGGATTCATGTATTTTGTTATAGCAGTTGAAAGTGACTAATACATCACATAAAAGGTGTTATTGGAGGCAGAGCTGGTGGGGTAGTGGGATTCCAGATGCCCAGTGCCACTCCTGGGTGGACTGAGAATCATTGGAAAAGTGGACTACAATAAGAAATATGGTATCCGAAGCAGAAGCTCAAGTGCATCATCTGTGAACACGAGCGCTTCCAGGAGGAGCCAGGAAGGCCCAGAGGGGATCACTGATGGTGTCTGGGTACAAGAGTTTCCTCTTCCCCCGACTTCTGCAGATGGAGACCTTCTGACTCAGATGACACCGACTCTTCAGAGAACAGTGAGGCAGAGGGGACCGAGTTGTCTGACACACAGCCCCTAAAGGAAAAGCAGCCCTCTTCAGGACGCCCTGCCCCCTGTCTCTCCCTGCCTCCTCAACTGGGTTTCCCTTCAGGCCCTGGGCCTTCCCCCGCACTCGACCTGTCTTGTCCCTCTTCTCCCCGGTTCCTTCTGACTACCTGGCTCTGCAGCCACCCGAGCCCAGGCCACTGAAGCTCACGATGGAGAAGCACCCAAAAAACCCCAGGAGTCCGTGGGTGCCCCTGACTGCCCTGTGGGTGGGAGCTGACCTTCCCTTCCAGGCCACTGGAACAGCCCTGTCCCCCTGTTCCCTCCCAGGGTGCTCCCCCACATGATCCTGAGCACCCTGCAGCTCTGCAGGCAGAGGAGATGATGCTCTGGATGGGGATGATGACATGGTGACCAACATCTGGAGTGACCTCCCATGCCACCTGCCAAGCCCCCATCCAGCACACGCCTCCTGTGGCAGCACACGCGAGCCCCAGCTTTCTCAGCGATGTTTACTGATGCCCATTACTCATGCTTCAGGCCACTGACACAATCAGAAAAGGTGTAAACAGCACAAATGTCCCCCAGGAAGGTGGCAGGGGCCCTGTCTTCATGACCCAGCCCCATCCAGGGGACAGCTATTTAAATGAATGGCCAGAAGCATCGGCTGTCTCTTGGGAAGGCAGAGACCTTGTGGTGGCCACCCCTTTAGAGGGTCATCTGTACAAGGCTAGGACTTTTATTTGTTTAAATGAATATTCTGTACTAAAGGAGTGGCCTTCAAAAAAAAGTTATTGGAAAAATTTAAAAAAATATTTTTAGTTGTAGATGGACACAATACCTTTATTTTATTTATTTGTTTTTATGTTGTGCTGAGGATCAATCCCTTTGTCTCACACATATGAGGCAAGTGCTCTAACACTGAGCTACGACCCCAGCCCAGTTACTGGAAAATTTAATGTGATGGTTTCTGTGACACTGAAATAGTGCCAGCACATACAGAGTGTTGTTATTATGATGATCCATGTAAATAACTTTGCATTTTTTTCCGGTTCAACACCTTGTATTAAATTAATAACTTTGTATTTTCTGATCCAGATTTTATTTTTAAATATAACATTTCAGTTGTCTGATTTTCATTTCATTGGACAAATATGTACTGAGCATAAATGTCTTACCAAGAACAGTACCAGGCATTGTAGTTGAAAAGGTGGAAAAGATACAGCTCGGAAATCCCATGAGTCCACATTTTGGATGAGTCGATAAATTCAGTAAGGTTGATCTGACTGAAAGGAAAGAGATTCAGATACAAGGGGAAAATCTTTGAGTCAGGTTTATTTGCATCACCTCA